TGGGGATCTGCCGCCTGGTAGATCGGGGTTTTGCGTAGCCCAGATTACTTAACAGGAACAGCTGTATGATCTCCTCTGTGGGTCCTTCCCCCGCAGCTTTAGAAGTAAACGTTTGATGGTATCCACGAATCTTTCTGCTTACCCGTTGGACTGGGATGCCCCGGAGGCGACCGGCAGTGCTTGATACAATTACACTGGCAAAAACCAACATCGTCGGAGATAAATTGCGAACCGTTATCGGAAACCAAGGTGTTTGGTGAACCGAACTGTGCAAATAACTGTTGTAATTTTCGTACCGTGGCCGCTGTCGTAGTTGTGTTCATCAGGTATACGTCCGGCCACTTGGTATACGCATCAATCACAATTCAAAAAACTGGCCTTGAACGGGACCAGGGAAATCAAGGTGAATTCTCTCCCATGGCTTAGAGGCTGGCATCCAGGGTTGGATGAATTTGCTTGGAAGTTTCGCTGCTGAAGCACATTTGCTACATGTGGCGACACAATCATGGATAGCGTTGTCCCTAAAAGAAGGCCAATATACGTAACTTCTGGCTGAAGCTTTCATCCGGGATATTCCGGGACAATGTAGGTGCAAATATCTTAATAACCTTGCCATTGAGGAAGTCCTAAAGAATGCTCTGCATAATTCGTTAAACGCGCTGACGTTGAGCTCCTCCCAGGTAGCCGAGCTGTTGACTTGGACTACGCTGATGATATCGTCTTGCTGGGTGACGGTCCACAGGCCGTCCAACTTGCACTCAACCACTTGGCGATTGAAGCGTCAAAATATGGGATGACTTTCCCCATCCAAGTGCAAAGCTCTTTTCCAAGACTTTCAGATGCCTGTACCTGCACTCACTCTTGGTGGTGAGACACTGGAGGTTACGGAGTGTTTTGCCTACCTGGGTAGTTGCATCACAGCCAATGGAGCTATTGGAGACCAGATTTCGTTGCGTATCTCAAGAGCTCGCCTCGCTTTCTCTAAGCTGAAGCACTTGTGGCGCCGCCATGACATCGGTATATCCATCAAAGGACGGGTTTATTGTGCGACTGTCCGCGCTGTACTGTTTTACGGTTGCGAGACTTGGCCTGTTCGTATCGCTGACCTGCAACGTCTCTCTGCTTTGAGCACCGTTGCTTGCGGTCGATTGCCCGTGTGTGGCCGCTGCACCACGTAACCAATGTGGAAGTTAGACAGCGTGGCTTGGGTGGAGGCAGCCATTCGCTGGAGGAGCTCGTCCCGCTGCGTCAGCTGCGGTGTCTTGGACACGTACTGCGTATGCCCGGTCATCGTCTTCCGTGTCGCGCGTTCTTCGCGGTTGCTGGACAGGCGCGGTGGACAACCTACGACATGGAGAAGCCACACCAGAATTGTCGAGTGACGCATCACTCCCCTCCCCCGGGTTTTCACCCAATGTAACTAATGCATGTATGCTGCTATGGGCTGTGCAATGAACAAATCTGATAGAGCCATGTTACACAATAAAAGAGCAGTGGTACTCCCCTCGCGCACTCTGGGATTTGTGATACTGTTATACAGTCGCAAGTACTGTGACTATCACTTTCTGTGTGTATTTGTTTACTGTGTAACCAGTCGATTGTCAGAACTGAGCGGGTACTGCTGACGTACGTCCTTACTGAATATTCATGTTCGTTTTTATAGTTCTTTTTGAGCGTTCTTACGAAGGACAAAATGGCTAGTTCCGTTTCAGCAAAGCCAAAGGCATTCACACTTGAAGAAATGGTATCAGTGCTTCGACGATGTTAAGAAGGAACAGTTCACTAACATTAGCGCAAAATTTCAGAGTAGGAAGAACACAAATCCATGTAACATAAAAGAGGAAATCCGTTTTCGAATAACTTTGTGAACCACACACCAAGTGAAAAGAAAGAATGGTAGAAAATGGGTAACGAAGACATGAACGCACCTTGCTGGAAATAGTGCCAATCAACACTGACGCGAAAATCCCATTATCTGGACACGTGATTCAAAAACGAGCATTACACTTCGCAAAAGAATTGCGAAACACAAAGTTACAACTAGTTGGCTACAGGCTTTCATCAGTAGATGATCTTGTGTTTGGTAAGGAATCAGGCGAAAGCGGTGACTCAGATATGTGTGCTGCATCCGACTAGACAGAGAAATTGCCCGAAATATGTTCCGGCTACCCAACTCAAGACATTTTTAATTCACCTGAAATCGCTTTGCTATTGAAAACGACGTCGAATAATGGCTTTGTGTAAAAGGATAGAAATGCGCAGGTGGGAAAAGAAGCAAGGCGTGTATCACAGTTATGCTGTGCACATTGGGGGAGCGAGAACCAGCTGCAGTGATCTGGAAATCAGCCAACACTCGAATTTTAGAAATATCAACATCTCTGTTTCTTAAAGCGGGGTTTTCTTGTACTGCAGAAATAGATTCTGAGAGAACAAGGCAAACTTGACCTGAAACATATGTGCAAATTGTGCCTCCTTCAAACACAATTGCTATGGATGCTCTCAGAGGAATTGTTTGGATGCAAATTGGCTGACAGCCATCTGGTTAATTCTTATTTCCAAACATATCAAAACAGAAATAAACTGGAACCTGCCAACCACATCAATTTTGGCAGCTGAGGATGTGAATAATGAATCAGACTACCAGCAGGGACAGGATTCTAGAAACGTTCTGAAAACGTATAGGGTGACGCATAGGGTGACATTGATACTTCGCGCTCCTACGCAATACATAGCGGACATACTGGCATGCTTGCACTTCTTCTGGACGTTAGGGAAAAGCTAACCTCCCTTCATTTCAATTGCCAAGCAACAGAACACTGTATTTGATATTTTTTCGTCTGGTGGATAATGATTATGACAACAGAAATGTGTGTGTGATTTTTAAAGGTTGTGGATATCGACGATTTGCAGATCAGTTTCTAAACTGTTGACTCACAATCTGTGAGGTTATCGCATTAGTATTACTCATCTATCCCACAGTATGCTCCACTACTGAGATTGCAAATTACGGCAGCCTTGATAGTACGTTCGTGACAAACAACTTCGCCGGTGTTCTGCAATTAAAGTCATAGTGAATAACGCGCAGATTGCCATTTCTGACAACCTAACTGTGTGAAGCGGGGTTTTCTGCAGTGTCAGCAGCCGAAACAAAGCAACCAAATTAACTGGACCTAGGCAGCACACATCAAGCGTCATTGTTTCCTATTTCCCCAGACGGAGCAGTCTCATTGCAGAGGAACACGCTCATGGTTGTCTGAAATTTAGCGTTCTAGTGAGTTAACGTATTATATTACTATTGGTGTAACTGGGTTTTATTTTCAAGGCAAGTTCAATCACAATGACAATAAAATTATTCAAACCTCAGCGGGCCGGGGTACAATTATGAAACGCCGACCGGTGCACGGCGATACAAAGATTGGGGACCACTGCCGTAGAGTGCACCGTCTCGCAATGCCCCCATATTTCACGAGATCAGCTACTTGTAATGTGATGCCTTCGCAACAAAATATTACGTCTGCGTACTTGCGGAACAAGGCGGAAAGTAAGATAATTCACCGTTTAACATATCCTTTTAAAGAAAATTGCAAGGCTGCAATCAAACATCTATCACATGCCTCCTTCATCCACCCATCGATCACTTTATCATTCTACCCGGAAGCTATCCTGTCTACCTCGATCAGATTTGACCTGTGTGGTTCGTATGGGTGCGAATTGTTTGGAATATGATTACCTTCTACCCCACGTTCAACTTGGACTTGTGGATCCGTCACAAAAGTGATATTTCATCGCATAATGAAAAAGTTACGTGTAGTGATTGGTATCCATTCTGCTGCGACGGAGATCGTTCCGCTCCTTATGTTACGGACAACTTGACTTCGAGGTCAAACGGTAGCTTTTACTACGCCTCCAACTATCCGACCGCCACCCACCAAAACGAGGCAAATTATCTGCGCCTCTTGTTTAGAGCCCCTTTTTAGTACCAAGCCAACCTTGTGCACTGTTGTCTTGTGTGCATCACTTGCGCCCTAGCCTTAGACATCTTTGCTCACTTAAGGGGCTTGACGTAAAGAGGCTTGACTACACTTAAGGCTTGTACCCGGCGCGCTGAGCCCACGCGTTCCCTTCCCTCATCGACTGTGCGCGCTCCAATGGATGTCTCAGACACCCCCATTGTCCAGTGAGGGCGCGCGGCACGCTGTGCACCGGCTGAGCACCGTTAACTGTCAATTGCCGTCCATTTTAGTTAAACCACGCTAGTCTCACCCAAGTCTCAGTTTTTCTACCCACCTCCGAAAGCGTGAGTATTCTGCGCGTAACTGTGTTCAGTCTCTACGCTATACCGAATTCTATTGGCTGGTAGCCTCTGTCCACGCAGTGCTACGTGGATGTAAGTGCGATGATTATCGGATGGGTAGCCTTTGCACTAAGGATGTAAGCGATTGCGTTAAGGATGTTAGCAAGTGAGAAATGGTATAGTATGTGTACAGCTAAGGCAATACCGTCTGTGTGTTGGAGCAATACAATGCTCCTTTTTACTAAATGCAAACCGTAAGAACGGATGTTACAGAAGAATGAACGGCTATCAATGTGAAAGAGCGGTATGCGCATGGCAGCATATTACCCAACGAGCATATGCATGCTGCGTTCCAATAGCAAAAAGTTACAAGTCACAACCAGAGATAGAAAGTAAGTTATCATATACGGAAACGGAAAAAATCAAGCAATAAAATGAGTATTAGTGATTCTCAATAACTTGAAAAGAATCAGTGTGGTAAATTGCCGGTTACATCTTAAAAACCACTTAACTGCGTTTGCACACTGAGAAAAAAACATCTCCTCACTAGCCTGTAGCTGATTGATCTCATCAACTATGCCTTCTTTCACTACTCGCAAAAAGTGAACTGAAAGCTGCGAAGTCAGTGCGCGCGCCCGTTGGATGGGGAACAATAAAACAACATATGGAACGTGAAGCACGCGGATGAGTTCGAATAGAACAATACTCACAAAGTTAGAGCCACGGTGACCAGGATCAGACCGGCGGAGAAGAAGTAGACGGCACCGGGACAAACGGATACAGTGACTCCGTAGAGCCCAGCGAAACCAGGCAAACCGACCAACATGCCGCAGTATTCCGCGACACCAACAAGAGAGAATAACCGGCCTGAAGAAGGGGAAACAAAGAGAACAGTGAAGACACGTAGGGACCAAGTGTGAGGCGTGTGGAACTAAATTAAGTTAAATTATTAGCTTAGACATGATATAGTCAGGAAGGACGATAACACAAGTTTAGGGAGAGTGACGTTGGAGTTCGAAGGTCGAAATCAAATTTGGCCGAATAAGACGTAATGACATTCAGTTCGTAAATGGACGCGGTCTACGAGTAAACACGACTCATTAATTATCATCAACAACAACAGCAGTACATCAGCCATTTGAACTAAGCTTCGCTGCAATACAACCATGATGACCAATGGGATGGAAAATAGTAAGAAGGAGGGAAGAGAAACTTACCGGAAAACCTTAATGCCCTAAGCAAAGATTCAGGGTCAAGACGTCTACACCTTGTGTTAACGACATACCACCACAAACAGCTGGCTATCGTGTAAAGATAAGGCGGCATCAGCGAGACAGCTTCCTTGCGGCTTACACTGCCACGCGTCATAATCAGCCATTACCCCGCAGATAACACAGTACCAAACACACTTTAAACAGGCAGTCCGACTAGGAGACGGCAGCAGACGCGCAAATGGTGTCGGTTGCGAGCTATCTGCTGTAAAGTCTCGAGCCAAGCACAAGGCGAGTTACGTGGACTCCAGCCCGGAAAGCGAGACGGACCAACGGTACCCAGTTTGGTCGTCAGTAACTTCATTTCCCGCTGCCAAGTCAACTTCTGTCAACCACGAGCTTTGAGCCATTCTACATATGGCAGACAAAACAAGGCCCACCAAGGTAAGCGGTGACCATGCATACGTTACACGTGCACAAGCCAACGCAAGTTATTCAGTGTTATCTGCAATTCTCAGGAACTAGCATGCGTATCACTGTCTAATATTCGCTTACACACATCATCGTTGCGAACACGCTGATCCGACACCAGAAATGCTTCGCAAACAACGATGATCAAAGACTTGAAGGCGCCGCAGATCTTCAGATCGAAGGGGCCAAGTCTCACTCCCATAAAGCAGGACGGACCTCACTGTGAACTTGTATATACGGCCTTTCAGATGGAGCGAAATTCCCTTCTGTCGTCATAAATGCCGTGGGCTCAAGAACGCAGTTTTAGGTTTTGCAATGTCCAAAGTGACTTCAGTTTCTATGCGCTCATCGTTGCTGATGCAACTGCTTAGGTAAGTGAATCGATCAACTACCTCGACTTTCTTGCCATCAAGGGTCAAGGGACCATTAAGTGGCCGGTGGTCCTGCAGCAACAGTTTGCACTTTGAAGGTACGAAGCGCATACCAAAGAATGGGAACACTCTAGACAAGCTATTTAGGGTTGATTGGGTCACACCGACATCGCCAAAATCAAGACGATATCGTCCGCGTAATCAAGATCAACTAATCCTTCTCCAGACTGGACCTCAACGTCTACATTGTGAGACTCCATGATGGAGTTCATGACGAAATTGAACAAAAACGGGGAAATCGGACAACCCTGACGAACGCCACTTGTGGTCGGAAAGCTATCCAACAGGTCACTGTAGACCCTGACGCGGACTGTAGTGTTCGAGTATAGAGCACGAAGGATGTTCATGTATTCCGTGGGAACACTTCTCCGCGCAAGTAATTCGAAAAGAATCGATTGATCAATTGAATCAACCACACGCTTGAAGTGGAAGAACACATCTATTGTCGGTCTGCGGTATGCGTGGCGCTGCTCTAGCATCAGTCGCAAAGTGAATATATGGTACATACAGCCACGTCCTGGGCGGAAACCTGCCTGCTCTTCCCTAATCCAAGATTCTCGTTCTGCAGTGAGGCGACAAACGAGAATCGAGGCCAGTAATTTTGTCACAACTGGCGTTAGGCCAATACACCTGTGGTTAGAACAGTCTGTGCGACTGCCCTTCTTGTATATTGCCAATATAATCGATTTGCTCCAATTAGCCGGCACACTCTCTTCGTTCCAGATACGTTCGAATAGGGAGGTCAGTGCTTTGCAAAGGACCTCGCCTCCATGCTTATATGGTGAAGGTGGGAGGAAATCCGGGCCAGCGGCACGAAAACGATTGAGGACTGTGATCGCGTTTCGGACCTCAGCCTCTGACGGAGGCTCTAAACTAACCGTCCATGGCTCGTTCTGCATCACCTGAGTAGGAAGAGGTCAGGGAGCAGGGGGCCAGCTGAACTGATCTTGAAAGTGTTCCGCCCAACAAGCCATACGGCGCTCCTTATTGTGTATCAATGCACCTGCGCTGTCTCTGATTGTCTCACTGACGCCTGATTTTCTGGGACCAGTGGTGCGGATTAGCTGGAAGAGCTTCCGGTAATTGCCACTGCTCCTGCTTCCTCTATTTGTTGAGCCCTACTGGTCCACCAGGCTTCCTTGTCAGCACGTAGGCTCCGCTTTAGTTCACGCCTAATAACCCGTCTGGTCACATTGTGCTCAGAGCCATCCGGGAGTATTTTCTAGATGCCAACAGGTTCACCGACCTCTCGGATATCCAGTGACTGGTGTAGTGACGATTGATAGTGCCACAAGCAGATGCTTCTGCGTCGTACATCGCGGCCGAGACCCTATTCCACTGAAGCTCAGTGTCATTAGAACAAGATAGCGGAAGTTCGGTATGTAGTGCATCATGATATGCTTGTCTGACCGAGGGCTGAGACAATTTCTCCGTTGCCAATCGGGTGAAACGCTCGCTGCGCCTCCCGGTAAAGTTCACGGAAAAACGACAGCGTACCAAAGCATGATCAGAGTCGACACAGGTACTCCAGTACGAGCGGCAATCCAGAATGGAACCGCGCCATCTGTAACTTATGGCGATGTGGTCAATTTGGGTCTATCGCTGGCCAGCTACAGGAGGACGCCAAGTGGCACTTCGGCGCCCACTGTGTAAAAGCAGTGCTACTAAGAAACAACTGGTGCTCCGCACACAGTTGCAGCAGACGCTCACCGTTGTCTGTCCGTTCGAAGTTAAGTCCATAATTACCACCCAGCTGAGCTTCTGAAGAGCCCAGACACCCTATTTGCGTGTTCACATCCCCTGCAAGTACTATTACATATGAACTAGTAGCACTGCGTAGTAGAGCGTTCAGTTCGTGGTAGAATGTGTCCTTGAGAACATCTGAACTGCAGTCGGTGGGAGCATAGCGGAAATCACAAACAAACAGCGTTTTGTACTACTTCGTGAATCAACCTTAGGTGATGTCTTCAAACGGTCTACACATAAACGGCTGCTCACCGGAATCCAATCAACCAACGATGGCTCAGTCTTGGAGCTGAGAATGATACCTACACCAGCTTGACCCGTGATTGCTGCATCAGCGTCTCCGGGTGCGTGCAACCAATAGCCAGAGGACAAGCCGGGCACAGTTAATTCAACAACCAGCCATTCAACAACAGCCATTAATCATAATTACGAACGCATACGCTATAGAGAAAAATGGCCACAAACAACTGGTGCTGGCAGGACAAATAATTGCAAGCGGATTAAGCTAATGCCATGCTTCTCAAACCCAGTCAGAAGAAGGATTAGGAGACTGAAGGTATTTTGGCACAAAACCAATCGTATAAGTCGGAAAAACGAATCATTTTCCCGGAAATAAGTGTAACCGGAATGTCCATCACAACAGCGGTGGCTGAATTTTTGGGGATCTAATCATTAAGTAACAAGAAAAGGGGTCGTCAAGGTTCTAAAAATTATGACTGCATAACATTGCTTAAACAATCAGAGAAGCGAGCTAACCTTCACAGCAAATTACAATCCGGCTGTGTTGCATGAGGACAAAACCTCGGTGTAACAAGGTCATGTCCCGATTAAGGCTCCAACTAGTGTCAACAAACTATCCCAAGTAAGTCCGTCAGCACTAGGGGAATGACAAAGGCATTCTTTCGTGCCATTCGGTAGGCAGAGGAGGGGCAGGGTGTGCCCACGGTTCTGTCTAAAATGAGTGGTGTGAAAGAAGAGTACTTAGTTTGTAATGCGTTTACTATTACGAAAGAACCCTGGAATCTGAGTAATCCACATATGCACATTTTGTCGGCAAAAGCTTAAGCACATCTACTGACATCGTTAAATTTCCGAGACTACCGAGAAAGGTAAAAGAGAATGGAGCACATAAAGATTCCCTTCTTGAGGAGAACTGTAAAGAGCTGGATGTTGTGGGTTAGCAGCACGCCGGCAAACCGTATTGATGATTTAAGCTCATATGACTACCATCAACTGATTGCTGGATAGGGATACTGCGACGCGGCTCGTATGAATGTAGATTGGAAGCGGTTGCCTGTGAATTACAAGCGTGGACGCCAAGACTATTCGATCGCCAAACGGATGTGGGTGATGGCGGTTAGACTCTTCTACATTGGTGGATGAAAGAAGTTTCTCAGTGGCACAACGAGTGTGCAAGCGAGCCCAGGTTGATTCGACAACTGCTGTGGGCACAACAAATTAACCTAACGGTGAAGAACTGCAAAAAGCAGCCAGGAAAAGTGTTGAACGACACCATAAAATTGGAACGTTTTTTCAAACGGGTTATGGCGTGCTTACATGGCAGTGGAAAAAAAGAGCCAAGGTGACTGACAACAAAAGACAATGTACTGGAGTAATTCTGAACCCTGAAGAAGAAGGAGAAGAAGAAGAGCGACACTTACCCTGTCCTTCGGGTGAATGTACCGATGACAAGAAAGACTTGAGGGTCGAGGTAATCGCCCCTCTGGCGAAACTGATGAAGAGAGCTGGAAGTGGGAAAGGAGGAAGCAAAAATAAACGGCAGATGCAAACAAAAGCACAGACTTAGGGGGGATGAAAAAGCGGATGGAAAAAAGCAAAGAAAAAGGAAACTCGTTGGGGTGAAGCTACGATGTCAGAATTGTAACGGCTTTATAACGATCAGGGAAAAAGCATACATCGGTGCGGTCTAGAAGGATACTGCAATGTACCTTGACGGAAAGGATAAGGACACTGATGAAGCCATTTAAATTCGCACAAATGGTGCGTATGCGGCGTCTCATGGAGGACTGAGCGAGGCCAATCGCACTAATCGATACCGAAAGTAAGTGGGCACTCGATATACGGCAATGATAGTTAGCCATGTAATGAACATTGAGAACAGATCACGACAAGCTCAAGCATCAAAAAGGTAGCCTGCTACGCGCCGAGGCACAGACAAACGGACCAACACTTTGGCGGATTCCACAACAGATGCAGTGCGCCGTAGGTGTTTAGCGCTGATAATCCGCAGAGAAATAATGAAACAAAAGTAGCAGAGACAATGAGAAGAAACGATTAGAGTGGTAGGGAAGTAGGCGAGCGCTTAAACAAACGCGTCGGAGCATGTAGAGGTAAGCCGCAGCCGCGGACAGTTCAGAGTTTAACTGAACTGTTAAATATCTGCGGGAAGTATATCATAGAAACAGCAGTAAGACGTTTAGCAATTCAAGTAGGACACAAAGATAACGCTGCAAAATGTACCAGTAGCAATAATCAATTCGGTTGCGTTGTTCTGGTGGCCCGTGGCCTTAAGGACCACAAGCCTGTCTTGTAATTCGGGTTCGCGAGTTCCATTCTACGTAGGGGACCGGGCGACGCTCGCAGTATCCTTTGCCCATGTGTAACTAGTGGTGGCTGCGCGGCAGTGAAGCGTTGGTATTGCGTACCGGCGTGCTGCTGATGCCTTTTTACTTTCTGATAGCACAGAAGCACATGCGGCTCGTCTTTGGACTGTGATTTGTCAAGTATAGAAGTGAACCAGCAGAAACAACTCCGTTTTTGGAAGCTGAATGGACTGACAGTAACTCAAGTCACTGACTGGTATACGGACAAATGACTGCGACGGATAGAGCCGGTAAAATCAGCGACGGTGAAAATCGAAGTGGAACAAGTCAAAATGAGCAACAGCGTGGGATGCAGAAGCATAAGGTGAGAGCGCACAGATGCGACAATGATCAATCACGTCATCTAGTAGACTGAGTTGCAAGAGGAATGACACCTAGTGACGCAAAGCACGCTTTCGGCCAAGTCCTTTTTATCATATAACCATCTAATCGTCCAGTAACAAAGCTTATGTAGGCTCGTTTGGTGGAATAAAGTGGCACCCAGGCGATTAGCGAGCGGGGGCTGCGACCCCATCAAGGTGATCAACACCAATAGAGTAAAAGGACCAGTGATCAGGCAGCATATGAGCAGTGCATTGAAGGTACTTGTAATCATCCGGCGGAGCGCTGACCCAGTAATGTCTTGGACGATCGACTGATATACCTGGGCAATACACTGACACGGGCTGTACTGCAGTGTCCAACACTTAGCACAGGTGACTTTAGAGTGGACAGCTACATGATCGCCCCGGATATGTGAGGCAGCAAGGAGTAATAGAACCACCTGCGCACGTGGATCGATCAACATATCCAGCAGCTAATTGAATCAACCGCGAAGAACCCACAACTTAATTTAGTGCCAACCATAATCCTGAGCTTGGCCCACTACCACATGGGTCAATGGAACAAGGCCGGTTGCGGTATATGAGGAGAGGGGGAACAAGAGTGCAAAGTGCGCTTGTCAGTTCGGCAGATACAACAGGACAGGGAGCGGTTACAATGAGCGATGTCACACGACGATCGCCAAGACGATATGGCGTTAGGATAAAGTGGTGACGCATGACGCCGGTTTCCATGGTTTACGATGGGCGTCAAGCCAGTTATTCGAATCAAAGTACACCAGCGCACTGACATAAGGGATAAGAGATCTTTGGATAGGACTTGGAAACAAACCAGGTTATCCCGATTAGCCAGCCGCGGGGCGAAAATCGGCTAGGCTGCTCTAACTTCAATGGTGTGCAGACTAATTCTAGTCTAGATGCAGTGCGTGGCCGACGGCACACCAGTGTATCCGAAGGTAATAAAGCTACAGGTTAGGAAACATGACTTAGTGATAAGGATTGGGAAAAGGAGATGAAATGGGCTGACTACATGACCAAGGTACTTACAAATCGCGAATCACGTAAGATTGCAAACAGCTGACAACTATGTGAAGATCAAGCGGCGCCTAAGAGAAAGCGTGTGTGCCCTGATTTATGAGGAGATAGATGGAACATCTACGAGGTCTCGTCTCATAGGATGTGAGGGGTGTCTAACAGTCTGAGGAGGTACAGTAAGACTGCTAGAGCTGGAGGAAGGGGAAAATTCGGGATTATTAACGATGGTTGAAGGATCTGGAAGAAAGCGAGTTCAACCGAACGGATAGAACAAATACAGGTGGTGCGCACGGCCTAAAAAAAGCAATCTTGGGATCAAACATATCACAAGTTAAAGCCCTTAGTAGATAAGACGCGACCGTGATTTAGGGCGGAACGCTTGTGTGTTGCAGTTCACCTTTTCATACAACAATTGCACCAAGCATTTCTCCTCGTAACTTTTCCCTTGAAGTTCGTGCGTTTCCAATTCAACCTTTCAGGCCAGTACTATGGAGGCGTAATTAAATTAAACTGAATTCCCAGCAGCATGGTATTCGGAACACAAGTAAGCAACCAAACTGACGATGTTACTATAAACTATTAATCCTCCCATTTGGAAATCGCTAAACTTGTTTTCAACAAAGCTTTTGCTATTTAACTTTTCCTTTTTAATGGTTTTATGAATAATATTTGTCACAGTGACTACATCAGCCGGAACACTTTAACAGTTAAGCTGCAAACCCTTGCTTTGCGCTTCGAATAGTTGCGGTGCAGGACTCCACGGCTGAATGCTTCCATAAGGGCATTTTCCCAACTGAGTGATTTTACGGAGGGTCGGCGATGGCACAGGATACCAGCCAACCCAAATGGATCAGTGGCATGACAGGCTCGGAGCTTCGATTTTTCTACCCGAATAAGACGACAGAAGGGAATCAGAAACATGCCAAGTGGATACTGTGACAGCTATACCTTTCCAACGGATCATGGTAACCAAATGAAATCGTTATCTTAAAGAAGAAGAAAAGACAACAGCAGTACTCCGTACCGACGTTTCGCGGCCACGCAATCACCAACAGTCGCACAGGCGATAATAATACTGCGAGAGTCGCCCGATATGAACCGGTGACGTCCGGATTACAAGGCAGACGACTTGTTCTTGTCTTAGCAGTGTGCGTCGTTTATGACAACTAAGGTGTCAGTGAGTAAGATGGAGAGAGAGAGAGAGGAGTAAAAACTACGGACCGAGAGAGTGTACAGACCACCATGAATTTCCACGCTCAGTGGAGCACACAGCTGATGTCGGAACGAATCGTACAACCCATAGGAAAAGTATAAGAGCACACAACGGCAGGAGAGCAACAGAAGGTTGCTAGCTTAGTATCTCCCTCATACACCATGTGTGCAGATGTGCACACGCATAAAAGTCTGTTTACGAATTCTGTGTGTAAATATATACATACTGTCAGTTGCATAATTGATAATCAACGGTCAACAGCTTTTGTTCACTCTATTAAGAAAGCAAGTACATCACTACTAACAAATTAATTCTTTCGATCGAAGTCCTTGCTTGTGTACGAAATGGTTGTGCACTACGACCCAAGAAAGCATAACTAGTGCCACTCGATCGACCAGCCTTCGAGGATCAACGTTTGAACGTAAGCTGCTACTAGATAGGTGTTGTGGTAGTTGTATACATCAATTCAACAGGAGATTGCGGACAAACCGCGAAAAATGTAAATTGAACGTTCTCGGAACAAAGTGAACCATTAGTGGAGAGTTACGAGACACTCTAACTGCTGTGAGATGATCACAGTATCAGCGCGAAATAAGTCAGTAACGAAAAGGGGCGTGTGACTACTCACGTCAATAAGAATAAGCGAAAACTACCTTCTTTATTAGGGGCTCAGTAATAAACTAGGACATCAGAGAGATGTAGGCTGAAAGAGCAATAAACAATATGAAGAGAAGTGAAATCGAGGGCCTGAAAAAAACTTTGAGCGAACTCATGATGCATGAACTAAGCCGTAAATAGTGAAGCCAAAAGACGAAGCTGCCCGATCTCGCCAGCAGTAGGGATGATAAAAGTGAGCAATTGAAAAGGTCTAGTTACCGACAAGAACGGCCACATGACACCAAGGGGGACGCAGTTTGAATGAAGAGCCCATCACCAGTTTGCTCAGAGTGAGCAAAGACAGGCCACATGACGTGTAGATCAGCATGCGGCGACGTGACCGCAGAACGAGCCAACTCGGTAAATCGTATGGTGAAGTAGTCTCCACCCTCCCAGCTGGAGGGTCCGGTGGGTCGTTCGCATCCAATAAGGCTACATTTGATCCGGATAGGCTTTGGACTATGGAGCTGGAGCGGACATCGCTGGGACTCGGCTTGGAACGCATTAACCATACGGTGATCAGCGTGAGGATCAGCGAAGAGATAGCCATGACAAAGTTACCGAATCCGCTGTAAGGATTGCAGAGAAAAAGAGGGTGTTTGCAAACAGATATTAGGCTTTCAATGAAGTACTTGTGGCTTTTAATCTTAAAATGTTAATGCACATTACTCGGCTCCAAAGCAACATTTGTAATTGAAATAAAATTTATTTGGTTTGGCACACCACTGACAACGGGAAAAAGTTTTATTTATCTGAGATGAATAAAATTCTGGAGTTCTGTAAACGATGAACTCGTCTCCTTGGGTTCTAAGACATTTTTCTCGGAGGCGAAAAGTTTACTTCATTCAGTTGACCAGTGCCGGACACATGTGTTGACGTTTTTGGTGCATTCCGACAATTCGTTAACAATACTTCTCCGATGAAATGGTTTTGCCTGTATTTTGAAATCTGTGATGGATCAAGCTAGCCGCAGACTACCAAACAGTCACCCTAAGTCTTTTTGGGTGTAATCTCGACTTTGGAAGTGTGGTAGATTTAGATCGTGGTCCAACCATTGAGCAGTGCATCGTCCATTGCCATAATGCACTCCCTGTTCATCGCACGCCACATTCCGGTTGAGAAATGGTTCGTTCTTGCTGCGCAGAACGAGAGCAGACGACATTTCAAGGCGAGGATTCCTTTGATTTTTACTCAAATCGCGGAGCACCCACTTATTAGACGTTTTGGACACTCCAATCACTCACAATGTTTGGAAACTGTCACATGTGACACTGATAAGCTAGAAGCAGGATCAGTTTTATGCAGAACCGCCTCAACAAAGGCCCTTAAATGATTGTTGTTCATTTCCTATGGTTGTCCACAATGCCCTTCATCATCAAGTCCCTCGAAAACTACTAGAATTTTTTAAACCACTATTGTGCAGTACGCTCATTAGTGATTCCAGAAACGAATGCGCGGTTGATGTCGCGAGCTGTTTCCACTGCAATCCGACAGGGTTTAAATTGGAACAAGAAAACTATGCGGATTTGTCCTCTGCCCTTGTCGCATTAAATATTCTGTAAAGGTGTTTCTTGCCTAAACCATCACAACTGCTAGTTAAAGTGAATAATGCGCTTCAAAAGGATCAAGGTGATTCCCTAAGGTTTGCTATATAAAAAAACAAAGCTGGTAAAATGAGCATACCAAAAACCGCAATAAATTTATTGGCAACCTAAGACAAGGGAGTGGATGTGTTATGGGGACCCAACGTCCCTATAATTATTACACACTTAAATTACGGAAGGCTGAAAAACCAATTCACACAAGTGCACATGTACTCGGATCAGACAAAACGCACACGTTCAATCAGCCTTCCAACTCGTGAAACATTCACATTCGTTTAGCCTTTGCATCCAGAAACAGTCTCGTTTCCAACCAAACACTCATTGTTGTATCCAAGCAACATTTATTTTCCGGACAACTCTCGCCAAACTTCCAACATTCCTGCTCAGTTTACGGACTTTGCATATTTACATAAAACCATGTTTCTTGCTTCCAGGGTTTGCTTACGCAAACCTTTTCCGAGGGAAAGCCCCCCTTCATCACCGTTCGTGATATAAAAATGAGGCTGTACAACGCTAGAATCGCCTTAGCTTTGGCCAGTAAAAGCGCCTGTGGCAAAAGGCCTGTCTTGTTCTTGATTCAGTCTTGGGTTGGGAAATCGTGCGTAGAAACTTTGCGTTCGGTCTAGGAACCCGTTCGACTCGCGTGAATTAATCTTTCGCGGCTAAGTTCCGAGAATCCACAGACTTCGAGATTGTCAGTTACCGTGCTGTGCGAGAAAATAATTCTGAGTCTCGTTCGTTCATCCGATTAGGAGAGTTGGTATCACATTGTTAGAACCGGACGTATTCAAGAGGCAGTATTCAACAGGATGATAGGATAAAAGCAAAGGAAGATTAATGGAGGAAACGAAAATAACCAAACGAATCATACAAAAAGTAACAATGCCGAACCACCTTATATGGTTGCGCATGTGGCAAAGATAAGCGTCCTCAACAAATTGCGTCGTTCAGGAAAATAATAATAATAATAATAATAATAATAATAATAATAATAATGCGTCAGCTGTACGCCTTAACGGCGCTTCGCTGCCGCGCGACCACCATCAGTCGCGCGCGGGCTGAGTATACCGCGAGGACGCCCACCCCTACGCGGATTCGAACCGGTGACCTTATGGTTGCAAAGCAAACGTGCAGACCACTCGGAAACCGGCCGACAAAAAAGCATCCAAACTAATGAAATAAGAAAGCTGATCAGTAGTACAGTACTATTAATAATACAGCAGCACACACCCACTTGGAAAATGAGAAGAGGGGGTGTGTCACGAAGGTAAGTAGAGAAGTTTACGAAAGCAAACCCAACGCCAAACCCCAAGGCGGCGACCAGCATAGTTACCTTAGTAATCTCAAGAATTAAGCCGGCGAATAGCTGACGGATGGCTTGTGATAGCTATGTACGTGATGTATGACGTGGCGGTGACATAATGGACGAGGAAGACCACCAGTCAAGAGGCGGATCGGAATGAATGGCCACGCACACGACCTAGTATAACGGGTGACTCCAATTCAAGACTGGATATAGTGGTGAAAAATATTACCGCTGGAAAATAAGAGATTACTTAACTGAAACAAAGCAAAAATTGCCACCAAAAGTTTCGGCGTTTTCTAACCACAATCAAGGATGAGCGGAAAGATGACTATAATCGTCCTCAAGATGTGACTGGCAAATTCCTCAATCAGGTTTCTATTTAAACAAGCATGTGTATTTTAATTTAGGACAGCGAACGCAGTTCTTCATCAACGTCCAGCCTGAAAAGGGATTGTATGACGTGAGAGTAAAGTCAGGGGGAAACTGGGCAATTAGACCGAGAGGAGCGAAAGAAGGGGACAGTTGGCAGTTCGCTGGTTATCAAAAGTGACATTAGCAATAGCACAGAAGATGCAGAATGTTTTACATATATGCAACGCCAAATGGAAAAGTGGCAGGGCAAAAGCAATGTGAAGAGAAGGCTCGTCGACGGGATAGCATAACCTCAAACGACGACAGGATGGAGTTACGATGGGTTTCCCATATAGGTTATTCTTTGCTGATGCGTTCATAAGCACGTTGGAACGGCGCCAGTTAAAGTTAGCCATCAGAAGGCCGTCTGTGCTGCTGTTACCTCGATGGCACCCGCATATTGCTTCAAGACCTTCAAAGCACCAAGGGTCAGATCAACCCATGAAACTAAGCCCCAGCCAGGTGATAAGAAAACCGATTCCGAATGGCATCTATCAAGCAGCCTACAGGGTCGGTGCATGGCTGGTGGACGAGAACTCAAAGTTCGCGGACTACAAGCGGCACTTTAATACATACACGAAGTCAGTGGTTTGCTAACAGCATTTTAGAAGTGAGAATATGCTAGAATGGCAACCAGTGACAATAGGAACAAAAACAGTCCATCGACTGATGATAAACGTAGTATGTTCAACGGATGAGCACATGACAAAGACGCGAATGGTGACACACTTGAGTGGTGTTTACCTGTAAAAGCCGACCTGCTCCGGAGTCCACTGAAATGGCTCCGACATGAGGTAAAGGAATGTGTACTGACTTTCGGAGAGGACCACCACGAAGTAGAGGAACAAGGTGACCAGGACCAACGTAGTGATCGGATGATGAGCCTTCAGCACCTGACGGGAGGACAAGTAGGGGGAAGAAAAGTTTACGGGTTAAACAAGATCCTTATCGTGCCACAATGAGTTACAACATATAACGACAAGATGAAGCGGAAGTATGAGTTAATCGCTGTGGGAACCAACCGGATTTAAAGGATTCAGGTACATTCTGGGAACTCCCGAAAGAGGGGATAAGGGATTAGACACATGGTGAGAGCATTATAAGACTGTATTTAAGAGCAAGTAGAAAAGTTGCTGTACAACTCTATCTAATTATGAAAATTCAGAAACTAATTGCGAATCGTCAGCCGTAGTCTTTAGACAGTTAATCGTTTATCCTTGTTCGGTTAGGAATTCGTATTGGTGTCATTATTTCCGGACATAGGATGTACTTTTTTGTATTGTATATGCACCGTTTCACAAAATCACAGGTTTCTGGAATAATCGTCCATACGTGTTGTAAAACCCATTACAGAATCGACCTCTATTAGTCCTTCTGGTAGTGTATTCCACAAATTTACGATTCTTCGTTCTATACAAAACTGATGTGATACCTTATTTATACAGGGGACTCTGAGTTTGTAACGGTGTCCTCGGGTGTTACAGGTTGCCGCAGGCGAAATATTGGTCGCAGTATGGGGAAGTGATTCAGGTGTCGATGGGTCATAATAAGGTCAATTCTTACTCGGCGATAGGATAATGTGTAGAGTCCGAGCCTTTCACATTTTTCATACGGAAGTTTTCGTAGCCTGGGTATCATTCTAGTTACGATATGCTGTATTTTCTCCAGCTTTTCAGTTTCCCACTGGGTTATCGGATGACAAGCTGGGGATCCGTATTCAAGGATTAGTCTAATGAGCGAGGTGAATAGGCGAGGGACGGTTTCTTCGGACCATGTGGAGTAAATGCGTCGTAATGCCCAGAGCATACGAAGTCCCGTACGGTACAATTTCACTGTATTTTCTAGCGATCTCATATTATGTCGTGAGAGCACTCCCAAGTCTTTGACAGATGTGTTGGGGTGGAGCAACTGGCCGTCCAAAGTGTATAATCGAGTGGCTGGACGTCTGGTGTTACTGATGTACTCCGACTTGCTAGCGTTAAGAGGGTCGCATTTCACTGAACCACGTTGACAGTCGACCTAAGTCATGACGGAGGCGAGCGCAGTCGTTCTGGTTCTCAATGACCCTTCAGATTTTCAAATCATCTGCAAACAGGGAACATGGTGACTTGAACTGCTGCGGAAGATCGTTGATATGAATAGGAAATAATACTGGTACAAGTACAGTTCCTTGAGGCACGCCACTGGTCAATGGGAAAAGGCCTGTCAGGTAGACATTGACCTGTACTCTAAACTTTCGTCCCACGATAAACTAGTGTAACTACTGAAGTAGCGAGCCACCGATTCCGTAGGTCCTCAGTTTACAAAGGAGTATCTCGTGGTTCACTCTGTCAAACGCCTTACTAAAGTCGATGTACACCACGTCAACATCCTTCTGTTCATTGAGAGCTCGTACCCACTGGTGGTTTGTGTAAATCAATTTGGTGATGCAGGATCGCCCTTTCGTAAAGCCGTGTTGCTCTGGCGTCAATACGTCCATCGACTCGAAGAAAGACAGCAGACACTTTTTCATAACCTACTCGAGAACTTTGGAGAATATCGAAGTCAAACAGATCGGTCTATAGTTCTCTACTTTACTCGGATCACCACTTTTGGGAAGCGGTCGCACTATCGAGCATTTCCAGTCGTTGGGACGGATCCTCCAGAGAGTGATTTATTGATTAAATTTGTCACGGCCGGTGAGATGACATTCAACATGGACTTGAGTATTAGTGGGTGAAGCCCGTCCGGTCCGGGGGACTTTGCACCATCGAGATTGACGAGTAGCTGATACATTTCGACTGCATCACATTGTAGGCAGTGGAGCAAGACTGGCGTAACCTTTGCCGGATTCCGATCAATAGCCGCCTTTGTGCCATGAGGTTCCATGGCTCTTGTAAAGTTAGCAAACGTCGAGTCGAAAAGCGTGCTCTCTTCGTGATCTCTGCCTACGCGCCCACTGACTGTGGCTCGGACACCGTCAAAGACCAGTTCTACCAGAACCTTCAGGAGCTGCTCCTAAGGGCTCCTAAAGCAGACATCATTGTTTTGGCAGGTGACTTCAACGCGTGTGTCGGTCGTCTGCTGCCATGTGAGCGCCACCTCGGGGGACCGCATGGATATGATGATGTTCGCTCAGACAATGGAGAGAGACTACTCAGTCTGTGTGCTGATCATCAACTATTCCTCACCAGCACCAGCTTTCATCGTCCTGGACGCCAGTACGTCACTTGGCGCCCCCCATCATGGAGGCGTCTAAGTACGGCTTGTGCTCCACTCCGAGAAGATGTAAAACGCTGCTCCAGGACTGGCAGATGCCTGAACCCGCGCTCACGATTGCTGGACATGTTCTGGAGCAAGCCCCTTGCTTTACTTATCTAGGGAGTTGCATCACGGATGGTGGCGGTGTTGGAGATGAAGTCTCACAACGGATTGCAAAGGTCCGCCTTGCATTCATCAAGCTGAGACACCTATGGCGTCGTCGTGACGTTAGTCTCAAGCTCAAGGACAGGGTGTACAATGCTTCCGTCCGTGCAGTACTCTTGTACGGCTGTAAGACTTGGTCTATTCGCTCGGAAGATATGAAGCGGCTGTCAGTCTTTGACAATCGGTGTCTACGAAGGATTTCTCAGGTGTGGTGGCAACACCACGTAACCAACGCAGAGGTGCGGGATCGCGTGCTTGGGGCGAATAGTGCCAGTCTTCAGGATGTTATTCTCCGACATCGCATACGTTGGCTCGGGTACGTTTTGCGCATGTCAGCCCATCGCCTTCCACGTAGAGCGCTATTTGCACTCCCAGGGAGCGATTGGAAAATGTGCCGCGGTGGACAGTCAATGACGTGGCGAAGGATCATGAAGAAGGCAACCTCAAGTTTGGCGGCAGTCGGACCAGTCCACCTTCCAGGTTGGGGACCACGAGATGCTGAATCTCAGTGGTTGGAAACATTAGACGTCATGGCCCGCAACAGACATCAGTGGCGACAATGTTGTTCTGCCATTTTACCATCCCTTTGATGCACACAAAAAACTCACAAAACAAGACAAAAATACGAAATGGCGTGTGTAAAACCAAGAAAAAATCGTTTCCCATATTTTTAAATCGCAGTTCATGTTCACATCTTCTGCACCTTTTTCTTCTGCCATGGTTTTGATGGCACAATGTCTGTTAACAGACTGTGAATATATATATATATATATATATATATGGTTGGCGGCATCCGGTTTCGGATTTGCCTGTCACTGTGGCAAGCCACAGGACGCCTGCACCTACAGAGGGACCATGGATGGCTTGCGCTGCACCACCCACAGCTCCAACCACACACCCCATATCCAGTGTAAACCCGAAGGAATAAGACCGGGAGGCATGCGGATGGGAGCCACGTTTCATCAACGGAGCCGGCCCACACTCCTTCACAGGCAAACACAAGCACACTGTATTTGGGGATTCAAGCGCACACAAGGCGGTGGCTGGACCGTAGTCCGCTCCACACTGAGTGCATGGAACCACTCTTCGAGCCTAACACGGCCACAAGGACCGTGCCCCCCGTCCCCTCAAGCAACGACCAACTGTCTCTTGGAGCCAGTATGGACGACGTAGTGGGTAATAGACAGGTAGGCACCTTGTCAACATGCACAACAAGCGCAGCCACACCGGGGATATCAAACAACAGCCAATCACTTGAGAGAGAGAAAGAAAAAGAGAAAGAGAAAAACTCGATTAATGCATAAGGAAACAGTGACATAAACCTTAAGTAAATAGCATACGTAATAAGTTGTTTACAAACAAATCCTTGCTAAGTGCACGAGGTCAGGAAGTATAGTTCACGGTATGCCACGAACACAAAAATGTTATGGAAATCGAATACAATTGGCTGAAGCGATGTGTGCAAGTTAATGGAATAGAGTACAGGGAGATATTTATATGAGAAAGAAAAGCATTAGGGTAAAAACTGTAAACCCACCACCTGAAATAAAGAGACTTAGCATGCAAGCATGCGGTTAGTAAATCGAATTCAGCGTGCCTACAAACGCTGCGCTGGCTCGTCGTAATTCTCTGCAGGACCCGTCGTCGCTTCTGTAGTGGCCCCAAATGGCACAGCTCATGGCCCACTAGACATTTATATGAGAAAGAAAGGAATTAAGAGAGAACCGAAAACCTACCACCTGAAATAAAGAGACTTAGCATGCAACCATGCGGTTAGTAAATCGAATTCAGCGTGCCTACAAACGCTGCGCCGGTGCTGCCTACGTTCACTGCGAGACCCGTCGTCGCTTCGGCAGTGGTCCCGAGTGACCTCTCTCATGGCTCACTAGGCCTGCCTGACTAAGGCACTCGCGACCGCATGTTCTACAGCACCATGCGCTCGATGTCGATGGAGTACAATTCATCGGTGCTTGCCGCTTCCGCAACTGCCGCTTCTTCTCTGCATGCATGAGGCCTTTCTACCGCACTTCAGCAACTGCCTTCGTGATTAGATCGCGCCATGCACGCCGATCAGCCGCCTTCGATTCCCATGATCTGCAATCAAGATTAGAACGTGTGAGGCTCACTTTAATCATGTCCTGGTAACGTAACTTTGGTTTCCCCACATGCCGCTTCCCAATACTCAGCTGACCGTATAAGAGTTGTTTCGGTATCCGCGCCGAATCCATACGGCTCACATGACCGAGCCATCTCAGATGTCGCAGTAAAAGTATGCAGTCCACTGCATACATACCACTTCGGCGCAACACTTCCGTGTCTGCAACTCTGGCGCCCCAGCCGATCCGCAGAATTCGTCGCAGACACTGCTGATGGAACCGCTCGAGATATCGCACATCCCGGCGGTACATCGTCCATGTTTCACTGCCGTATAGAAGAACGGACAGTACCATGGATTTGTACACCATCAGCTTCGTGCCAATGCTAAGCTAATGGTTGTTCCACACTCGGTACTCAAGCTTCCCGAATGCCGCTGCCGCCTTCGACACGCGATTACGCAACTCAACGTGTAGCTGCTGATCAGTCGACATCACACTCCCAAGGTAGCAGAAGCGGGAGGTGGTTTCCAATACTTCAGCACCAATGCTGATTTGCGGCAATATTGAAGATTGCACCTCCGATGAAGGCTGAAAGAGACAGACAGTTTTGCTTGTGTTGATGGTGAGCCCGAATTTGGCCGCTGTCGAAGCCAGAGCACTAGTCATGTGCTGCAACTCATCCGCGCTGTGTGAAAACAACGCACAGTCGTCAGCAAACAGCAACATACGGATAGTTGTCTCACAGACTAGAGTTCTCGCACCGAAACGACGGATGTTCAGCAACCCACCATCAATACGGTGCTCCACACGAACACCGTAAGCACAAGCCGCATCAAAAGCACAAGACAACATTGCATGAAGATAGATATTAAACAGGGCAGGAGCTAACACACAGCCTTGCTTCACACCAGAGACAACTGTAAAGTCATCAGAGGTCTCTCCACTCAGCTGCACCCTCGCTCGCATACCACTGTGCAGACATCCAATTAAACTTACAAACTTACGCGGGCAACCAAACTTACCCAACACCAGCCACAGTGCCTCGCGGTTCACCGTATCAAATGCCTTGGTGAAATCAACAAAAAGCGAGTACAAAGGCTGATGTCGTTCTCTGCACTTCTCTTGCAACTGACGAGCCGCAAACACCATATCTATAGTGCTCCGACCCGAACGGAATCCACATTGCTCTTCCGCCACGTTTGGTTCCACAATCTGACTCACGAGGCGATTGAGCAGGATTCGGGCAATCACCTTGCCCACACAACTCAGCAACTTGATACCACGATAATTCGTGCAACATTGCTTGCTACCTTTGCCCTTGTACAGTGGTAGCACAAGGGCATCCTTCAGCTCAGCAGGCACCTCCTCCTCAATCCACACGCG